AGTGCGGCGGCATCACACTCGAAAGGTCAGGAGTTTGTAGACCAGCTTGAGCCACATTAGTTGAAACCCTGTCTACTACATAAAAGAATACACAAAATCTAGACTGGAGTGCAGTGCGCGCTAGGCGCCTGTGAATCCCAGGTACATCAATGAGGCTGACGGGTAAGGGAGAATCACTTGAACCTGGGAGGGAGAGGTTGCAGTAGACCAAAGGATGAGTCAATGCAACTACAAGGCTTGGGGGACACAGAAAACTCCATCTCAAAAAAAAAAAAAAAACCTACATTAAAACCATGTTATATAAGTAACTGTTACTAAGGGACATCAATATGAGGGCAGCCTTTCAGTAAATTAAAACAAACCCCATCCAGGGCAAAAATAATGGCATGGTGTCGCTCAGAATGCCAGTCGACAGTTCTAACGCAAGAGATGTCTACTTTCTGCGCCAGGGAGACTTAGGTACAGCTTTTCAGAGGAGAAGAGGCAGTGCGCGAGACTGCGGCAACAGGAGAGACAGGAGCAGCCAATGTACACCCGGCGGATGGCGCCGAAGGAAAAGAAGGTCGGAGGAAACCCAGATATGTATGTTAGAGAGATGAGCAAATAGTCAGAACTGGACTGAATGGAGGGGTTCCGGTAGGCTAAACTTCATATAGATTTGGGAAATGGATGTAAAGACTGAAAGATCTTTGAGAGCACCACCACAGAGGAAAGACAAGAAAGGCCTGTAGTGTGTGTGTGTGCTGCATCCACCCAAGCTGGAGTGCAGTGGCACAATCTCGGCTCACTGCAACCTCCGCCTCCCGGGTTCACACCATTCTCCTGCCTCAGCCTCCCAAGTAGATGGGATTAGAGGTGTGCCACCATACCCAGCTAATTTTTGTATTTTTAGTAGAGATGGGGTTTTACCATGTTGACCAGGCTGGTCTTGAACTCCTGACCTCAGGTTATCCGCCTACCTTGGCCTCCCAAAGTGCTGCGATTACAGACGTGAGCCACTGCACCCGGCCTACTTCATTCTATTTAATCCCCAGCACAACTCTAGAAAGCCCTTTATAGAAGAGGTTGAGAAGCTAAAAGGTTTGTCCAGGGCTACAGGGCCTGCCAATGAGTCTGAGTTGCTGCTTTGCCAGATACACTCCTTATCCCTGGGCTCCACAGCCCTCAACAGAGGATCAAAAACATTGGGGGAAGATAAAAATTAAAAACAATACAATTAAAAAGAATACAAATTAAAAATACAACAGTTATTTACATAGCATCTCCACTGTAATAGGTACTACACGTAATTTACAGAATTTTTTTTTTTTTTTTTTTTTTTTTGAGACAGAGTCTTATTCTCTCCTCCAGGCTGGAGTGCAGTGGTGCGATCTCCGCTCACTGCAAGCTCCGCCTCCCAGGTTCACGCCATTCTCCTGCCTCAGCCTCCCGAGCAGCTAGGACTACAGGCGCCCGCCACCACACCTGGCTAATTTTTTGTATTTTTAGTAGAGAACGGGTTTCACCGTGTTAGCCAGGATGGTCTCGATCTCCTGACCTCGTGATCTGCCCGCCTCGGCCTCCCAAAGTGCTGGGATTACAGGCGTAAGCCACCGCGCCTGGCCGCACCCTTGGATTTTGTCATTCTCAGGGAGTCCTATTCCAATTCCCTGCAGACGCCAAGGAAGGACCATACTTTATATCCATTGCTTGAGCTCTGTCCACCACTCAATGCTGCTCTGAACACCAGGAGTTTATCATTTGACAAGTGACATGAAGAGCACCCTCGCCCTGCCACCATACTTCCCAACAGCTGAGAAAAGCCATCACTAATAAAAGCAACTCCTAGGCCTGAATTACAGGCTGCAGAGCCTTGAGGAATCTGCAGACAGCCTATCCCAGAACATGACGACTCAATTTCCCCAAAGAAACAAGAGCCTGGAGGAAAGAAACCAGGGAGGGGGAGGGGAATCGGGATGAGGAAGTGACCACATCTGACTGTCCAAGAGGTTGGGGTTGAGAATCCCAAGTTTCAAACATTAAGCCTCCTCCTCCTCCTCCTCCATATTTATTACAACAGCATCTTAAAGTGCAGAAAGTAACTCAGCCATTTATGGCATAATTACCCAGACTTTAAAATGGTCTAATCCACAAACCTAGCCAGCCTAGGTTCCTTACTCCAGCCTTATTAACAGTGGGATCTCACTACAACTCCAGTTAATTACACAAACAATGAGATGGAAAAATCTACTGTGATCTATTAAAAAAATCGTTGCCCCCTGAAATCATGCGTCTGGGGGTGGGTTGAGTCCCAGGATTTCACTAGAAGACAACAGGCGCCTCGGCCTCTGCTGAAATTGTTTACAGCACATGGACAGGTTCCACAACAAGGCACATTTGGTGGAACTGATTTAAGGCTCTCATTAAAATGTTCCTTTGTTGAGCACAAGACATCCCCCCACCCCTAAGGAGACTACAGACCTCCTGTCCTAAGCCCTCAGCCTGCCCTAACTTCCCCCAACAGGATCCCCCCCCTCCACACGCACACACTAAACACTAGTCACCAGATTAAGTCAATTAACATCAGAGTCATTTTCTCATGAAAGGAATTTAGGAATTTAGCATTTGTTGAGCAAGAGCCCCATCTTCACCAGAAACTCCCCTTGACTCCAGAACTCTGAACAGCAGCAGTGAAGGCAGCCTCATTGGGCAGACCCACACACCAAAACCCAACCAGAAGAGCCAGGAGGCCTGTGAGCTCGGGCTGCTCGCCCAGATGGCTGGGCCCCCATCCTGGCTGTGCAAAAAAGTTCCATACTTCCTCTGGGAGCAGATGTGGATTCTGCCACGAGCAATAACCACCAAACACATCACAAGAAACATGGGGCAACTCCAAACACCTCCTCCAAATCCCTGGAGCTTACTCTCTTTCCTGGGTTACATTTACCTCTCGTTTTACAACTGGGCGCAGGGAAGATGTTGATTCCACCAGCACCAAAACCCCTCCACAGCTGGCAGGCCAGAAAGGTATTAGAAAGGCAGTTCCCTACCCATGCCGTTCCCATTGCCACCTTCAAAGGAGGTGGGAAGTGATCACCTAGGACAGGTCTTCTGGACAGAGCTCCCCAAGAGAAAGCTGCTTCGAGGACCACCAAAGAGTGTTTTGGAGGCTGGGGGGCTTTATTTCCAGTCCGGGCTGTTTGGGATGGGCGGGTGGCTTGATGCTTTCCTGTAAGGCACTTCGACACCTCAGTGTTGACTCTTAGGTGTGACCAAGCCAGGAAATAAAAGCTGCGGGAGTTGGGGGGGGCGGTGCTGTCTGCCTGGTGATGAGGGCCACACCCGCGTTAAAATACTAAGGCCCCCCAAGAAAAACCTGAATGAGTTCTTTTTGCTTTTCTGTCCTTAGAAAGATTTCCTTTCCTCTGTGAGGACAGCCAGGATGGAAATCCAGGAAGGAGCAGAACAAACCCCGTCCGTACCTTTGCAGCCAGGCCATGCCCGATTTTGGCAGCGGCCTTCACACATTAGTCACCGCGACAGCCTGGGACCCTCGGATCCCCGGATTCGGCCCTGGCACGGAGAGGGCGCAGGGTTCCAGACCAGTAACTAGAAGCCATGGGGCGGCCCCTAATTCTTCCCTTCTTCCGCCCTCACCCGCAGGGCCATCTGGGGTCCCGGCTTTGCCCAGGAACTTGGAGGAGGGAAGCCGGGAGCGTCGGGTCAGCGTAGGTAACAAAGCTCCGCGCTTTGCGCGCCGCAGGTCTGTCCGGCATCGGGCCCCAAACCGGCCACTCTTACCTGGGCTGACCCTGCCGGGTGGGGTAGGGGGGCTCCCTTTTCCCCTTCGCACCCCCCACGGGGGGTGCGGGTGGTCTTTTCTCCCCCGACAAGAAACTCCCCATCTGGGCCCGAGAGCCGGCAACTCTCGGCAGTTCTCGAGCAAACTCTCGGCTCAGACCACAAAAACTCAGTGAGGCTGGAAATGCGTCCCCGCGGCGCGGGTGGGAGGGGGACCTGACCGAGTCCCTGGAGGCTTCGTCAGCCTCCCGGCCCCCGGGTTCCTTGCGCCCTTCCGCCGCGAGCCTGCACCCCCAGCGAGCCTCTCCACCACTCCAGGGCCGCTCCAGCCGCCCAAACCCACCTCCCCAGGTGCAGCTTTTTGCCCACGGGCACTCCCGCGCTTCCCAAGCTCTGCGCCCTCAGCTCTCGGGGACTCACCGCCCAGCAGCGGCAGCAGCAGGACGCTGAGCAGAGGCAACCGGCGGGGTCTGGCCAGGGATCCCCGTGTAGCTCCCATCGCGGCGGGCTCGGGAAAAGGAGCTGAGGGCGCACAGCGGGTGCGCAGACTGCGCTCCGCGGCGGGCATAGAAGACGGAGCGCACCGGAGCGCGGGCGCCGCAGCAGCAGCCGCAGCCGGAGCCCGACCCCGAGGCGTCCCGAGCCGGAGCCGCGCGCGCCCGGTACCTCGGAGTCCTCGCGCGCCGCCGCCGCTGCCGCCACCAAGCCCCGCCCCACGACGCCCCCTCCCCTCCGGCCCCCGCACGGCGCCCCGCCCCCTCGACGCCCCCTCCTCGCCGAGGCGGGGAGGAGCTCAGTAGAGGGAGGGGTCTGGAGAGGGATGGAGAACAGAGAGCAAGGCTCAGGAGAGCGCAGGGGACCTGAGAGGGGTAGGGGAGTATTTGCTGTACCTACCACTGACTCTGCAGGGATCCGGGAGAACCTAAGTGACTTGTGAGATGCCGTGGACCCTGGGGAGAATGGCCCATTCTGTGCATACCTGGAGGCTCTGGCCAACAGTTCCCCCAGAATTCTCCAAGTGGGGGCAGCGGAAGAGGTGGGCCCCACCCACTCTTCAGCAACCCAAAATCTTACAGGCAGACCCAGAACAGCACGGTGTCCTTTATGTCCCCCAGCAGAGTAACCTGAAGATGCTGTGTAGCCCGGAGAGGGGCTGAAGGGTGCATGACTGGGGTCTGGTTTGGCTCTAGACCAATCTGAACCCAAAGGTAGAAACACGCTGGGTTCTGAAAGCCAGGCTGAAGGCTGCTAAACTGACAAATTCATCCCAAGTCCATCTCCAGGCAGTCTGGGCTGTGTCAGGGTATGGCCAAGTCTCCAGCTGTGGGGAGGCCCAGCACAACCCTTGTTCCAGGCACCCCCCACCCCCCGCGCCACCACCCCCACATTCTTTCTTTGTTGTGAAAGCAGCAAGGGGTGTAGGAGGCGGGTCAGGAGGAGTCAAGCTTTAGAAGATGGGCCCCAGCTGCTGCTCAGGCCTCCAAGATATGCTGAGAGGGGATGGATAGTGCCTTGTCTCCCCTCTGGCTCCGGAGGGCCCCCCAGGCCTGCTTAGTCCTCCCTTCCCCCAAGCAGCTGGGAGAACGAATGGCAGCCACAGAGGGCCTCACAGCCAGGAGAAGTGGCGCCAGGACTCCAGGGTCCTGCCACATGGCCACCACATGTCCCTGACAACCCAGTCCACAGCACCTTTTCCTTGGGTTGTGGGCCTCCTTCTTCCCCATCCCCCAGATGCCTTCCTACAGGCCCTGCTGGAGATGATACAAACAAGGGGAGGAAGAGAAGAGAGATCCAAGAATCAACACTCCTCCTGCTGCCCCATCCATCACTGCCCCTCACCCTCTGTGAAGGGCTCCAACACAAGCCCTGCTTCATACCCTCTTCAATCAGGACTCAAGTCGCAGAAAGGTTACCTGATTCTTTTATTTAAGAAAAGTGAAATACATGGACCTGAAGTGAGACAGCAGAGGGAGGGAATAAGAGCGGCCAAGGCAAGGCAGCTTGGCTGGCCAGCCCTCAACCCTCTGACTGAAAAGCCAGCAGCAGGCTGCATCTCTGAGGGCCATACCTGCTTTGTACCCACCTTGGGGGCCTCAGAGCTAGCTACTCTAGAGGACCACAGGGTGCGGAGAGGGTGTCCTGAGGGTCCTTCCTAAGAGGGATTCCTGAGGAGGGAGCTGAAACCCTAAGGGCAGCAGCAATCTTCTGGTTAAACTGCTCCCCTTCACTGTCCCACCTAGGGGTGGGGAAGAGCCAGGAGCAATGGGGAATGCTGTGAGGGCTATAGGGGTAGGGGGACCCAGCAGACCTGGGGACTGGGTTGAATGTCAGCTGCTTGAAGAGAGGTCCATGGAGCTGGCACTGAGGCCCCGGGAGACCTGAAACAGACAACACTACCCCATCAGCTCAGGGACCTCAGCCTCCCAAAGACTGTCTCCTGGAGTCCATCCATCCAATGGCCACAGTGTATCTCTGGACCTAGGATCACATCCATCTCTGGACCAGTCTATCTCTGGACCTGGGACTTTGTTTAGCCTCTGCTAGGGTTTTCCAGAAGGCCACAATCTGGTGGAGAAGCTCTCTGGAAGAACCACATGAATACTGGCATATACTCTGAGTGTGTTCATATAAGAAGTCATTTGCCATTAAAATATCATTACTGTTTTCTCAGATGGGGATTATTTAATACTTTTCTTTTTCCATTCTCATCTACTATGAAGGTAGCTGCAGGATGAAAAAATGAGTATCTCCAAATAATTCTAATTTTTTTTTTTTTTTTTTTTTTGAGATGGAGTCTCGCTCTGTCGCCCAGGCTGGAGTGCAGTGGCGCGATCGCGGCTCACTGCAAGCACCGCCTCCTGGGTTCACGCCATTCTCCTGCCTCAGCCTCCCAAGTAGCTGGGACTACAGGCGCCGCCACCATGCCCGGCTAATTTTTTTTTGTATTTTTAGTAGAGACGGGGTTTCAGTGGTCTCGATCTCCTAACCTCGTGATCCGCCCACCTCAGCCTCCCAAAGTGCTGGGATTACAGGCGTGAGCCACCGCGCCCGGCCATCTCCAAATAATTCTTAAATTATTCATAATTCCAAAGTACCAGTTTAAAGAATATTCCTATTTCCCTCCTTATTAACTTATTTGCTACTATGTCTGGCCTGAAACTGTCCCTTGGTGGTCATCACTCACCACAAGCTATCTGCCTGATTCCTTAATAACTGCAATCCCCTGGCTCATCATTATCCCAGATGACTCCTCTCCCCACTTCCCTTACTCCACTGGGCTTGCTCACTGGCTGTTCTTTTTTTCATCACCCACCAATATGCTCACAAGCACTGCTCTCACCTGGAGGGGTGCTGCACTAGGTTGGTTCAGATAGTTCAAGGAGGCTGCTCGCTTCATGTTGCTGCTACAATGGAAAATGGAAGAACTGAGGCCTCCTCTCTTCCTCCTGAGTGGCCTTAAAGCTGTGGGCCTCTTGAGCACTGCCACACAAAATCAAATCACTGCCTCCCCTCTATCCCCTCCCCCAACTTTTCTTATCTGCATCAGGAACCAGTATCTCAGCTACCTTCATCTTCCAAGTTGGGGCACCCATTCTACCCAAACTCTCTCTCCATGGCTATCCCATTGACTTCCTCCCTGTTTCTCTCCAAGATACCTCTCCAGAGATCAGGGGCCAAGAGGAGTTGGAGGCAAGGGCTTACTTTACTTGCCTGCTTTACCATATCTTTTTTTTTTCTTTTCTTTTTTTTGAGACAGAGTTTCACTTTTGTCGCCTGGGATGGAGTACAATGGCATGATCTCAGCTCACTGCAACCTCCACCTCCCAGGTCCAGCAATTCTTCTGCCTCAGCCTCCCAAGTAGCTGAGATTACAGGCACCCACCAGCACGCCCGGCTAATTTTTGTATTTTTAGGAGAGATGAGGTTTCACCTTGTTGGCCAGGCTGGTCTCGAACTCCTGACCTCCGGTGATCCACCCGCCTCGGCCTCCCAAAGTGCTGGGATTACAGGCTTGAGCCACAGCACCCAGCCACTTTGCCATATCTTGACTTCCATGTGTACCTGGAAGGCCGAGGCTCGGTCCCCTGGAGCTTCCTCACCAGGATTTCACTGCTTCTGCGGAGCACATCCCGGATCTTGCCCAGAGAGCCACTCCTCTGCAGGGTCCCACTGCCATCCTGGCAGAAAGGGGTGAGCAATGAAAGCTACAGGGATCCCACACAGATGGGTTTCTGAGTCTAGTCCCAGCATTTATTCTGCACACATCCCCCACCCCCAAGGCCCAGTGACTGAAAATAAAAGTCGGGTCAAAAGCTTGCTCCCAGAGATACCCCTGAAGGGATACACTACCTAGACTGGAACAGCATAGCCAAGAGCCTCTCACCACCACCAGCAGGAGTGGGCAGGAGAGATGAAAAGGCAATGATCAGACTTACCCCAGACCATTCCACAGCCACAGAAGCATCTTCACCTCCCTCGAATTTCACACTGTCCCCAGGGCCCTCCTGGGACGTCCTTCTACCATCACTCTCCCCAAGCAGCTCTGCCACCTTGGTCTGACTGATAGGGTCAGTGCCCTGGAAGGAAAAGGAAGGACCTGGGACTTCCTACTCCTTAACTCCTCAGGATGGGGCTTTCAAATTTTTTTCACCATCAGCCACTGCAAGGAAAACATTTTTCCTTGTGATGTCTCAGTATATGCCTACTGGAACAATACTCACCTTTTCTATTTGCAATGCATTGCTATATATAGATCTGTATATATTTTTAGCCCCATAGCCCACACTGAATTGATTTCACAACCTACTATTGAGACCCACAATCTGAGAAATTCTTGACTTAGGCTCTCCCCTACCTCACTCCTCTCACCCACACCACCCAGGACCCTCCTTATGAAAGGGCAGGGTTTCTCCTTCATATCCCCATTTAGTGAATCTTGAAATTAAAGTCCTGACCACAAAGTGCAGGTAGGGGGTAAGAACATGCTTAAAAACCACCACAATCACAACACTGCCTCACTTTCCTCTCCCTCCTGGCCTCATCAGCCTTTCCGCTTATTCTTAGGAGACTCCCAAGAAACCTCAGCAGTCTCTCATCCCCAGGGCCCTTCCCTCAAGGACCTCCTTCCCCTCTGGGCTTCTGACCTGTCTCCGGGACCGCTGGGCACATTCCTCCAGGGTCTCAGCAGCCTCCAGCTTTCCCTGGCGCCTATACAGAGCTCCCAGGTTTCTCAGAGTAGTGTTCACGGTGGGGCTGTGGTGAGAAACAGACCGGAGAAGGAAGAGAGAATGGGTTCAGAAAAGAAAACATTTGTCTTCCAAGCAAGACAAGAGGAAAAAAAAAATAAGAAAATAGGAGAGGGAACAGAGCTAAAGCTCAGGGAAAGTCTACGGGAGGAAGGGAAAAGGTCTGGGAGGCTGGGAGCCTGGATGGAGGGCATCGGAGGCCAAGCTGGCTTTTCACTGGCAGCTCACCTGCTCACTTTGCAGGCCTTGTACCAGCCTCCATACTCAGCATAGGGTGTGCCACCCTCATGGTGCCGGCTCTGCAGGCCAGAGAGAAGGGCAGGGAGAGCCAAAGATAAGAATACAGAGATGATGGGATGCACGGTGGCATGGGGCTAGGGTGTAGGCTGAGCTGGGGAGGACACCATGCATCTGGGGCTGGTGCTGGGGTGGGAAGTGTGAGTTGGGCTAATGGAAGGAGTAAGACAGAGACCCTGGTAGCCTTGAGCTCCCCAGGCTGGCCCCCCTTCTCCCCACTCACTTTGCTCATTTCCTCCCGCTCCTCTGCATGCATCCAGATGGGCTTGTGGTCATCTGGGGGTGATACACGGGGTGGGGAGGTTAGAGATCGGAGCTAGACAGTGTCGGAGAGCCAGGACCCAGAGGCTGACAGGCTGGACTGAAGGGGTCTGGCTCCCCCTGGGAACCACTGTGGCCTAACCCCCGACCTTTGGTCTGCATTTCTTTTCTTTCCCACAGCCCCTTCCCCAAGCCCTCACCACTCACCATCCACAGACCCAAACTCCTGCACATGGGCACGGGTCAGGATCTCTTTGTATAGTGTCTCAGCCTCAGCATATTTGCCCTGTTTCAGGTAACAGGAAGCCTAGAAGACAGAAAGGCAAAAATACAGGAACAAAACATGGAGGGAGGCAAGGTCTTCTTTTTTTTTTTTCTTTTTTTCTTTTTTTTTTCCAGACAACGTCTTCACCAGGCTCAGGGAGTTCCACTTCTCGGTGTCTCTGTGACTTTCCCCAGAGATCTTTCTCACACCTCCTTCTCCAGGTGCAGGGTCAAGGGTATTCCCAGCCCACTCTCAAGAAGCTGTGGAGCTTCTATAACCGGAACGAAGCAGATCCTTCATCCGCAAAGGCAGCCCCAGAAATGGACACAAACTTGATGAGAGCAGTGTGCCAGATTGTGATGCTTCCTAACTCTAGGACCCAGGTGGCCTCTCCTTCCCGTTCATTCCACCTACTTTGTCCCCTCCTCCCATACCAGGTTGTTCTTGGTCCGGGCTACATTAGGGTTGTCTGGCCCCAGCTGCCCCTCGTAGATGGCCAGTGCTCGCTGGTAGTAGCGTTCCACCGCCTCATACTTGCCCTGGTTTTGGCACAAGAGGGCCAGGTTGTTCAGCTGCTTTGCCACATCTGGGTGATTAGTGCCCAGGACCTGAAAGGGAACAAAGGAGTGGATAAATGGCTATGATTACGTGTGTGTGCACAAGCACACGTGTCTGCTTGCATGTAGGCACACACATGTGGAAAGCAGAGGAATGGGAATGAAGGAAGAGAGAACAAGGCAGAGATGGGGGTGAGAAAAAAAAAAGTGAAAGAGGAGTGTTAGACCAGAGAAGCCATGTAGAGAAGGGTCACAGCAACAAGGGAAGAAGGGAGAGAGGGCATGGGTACCTTTTCTCGAATCTCCAGTGCCCGCTGGCACAGAGGCTCTGCCTCCTTGTATTTGCCCCTTTTGCCATAGAGCACAGCCAAATTGTTGAGTGTGGCAGCCACCTATGAAGACAGGCCGGTCCCCATCAGACATTTGGGTTGCAAATGACCTATGGGAATCTGAGGTTCCCCACCTCCCAGCAGGGCCCCACAATCACTGCACAACTCTAAGAGACAAAGACTCTACTACCCTGGAGCCAGGGGCTGAAGGGAGGGGAAACTGCTGAACAGGATGGTTCTGAGGCTAAGGGATAGTATCGCCCTCTAGGGGATTTTAAGAAATTTCTGGAGGTGGTTTTCTTTTGTTGTTTTTTTTCCTTTTTTTTTAGTTGCCATGATGATTACCTTTGAGGAGGCAAGAATGCTATAGATGTTCTGCATGTGTGAGACAGCTCTGCCAACTTTTGAATGTCCTGCCGGACATCCAAACACTAAATGTAAGCATTGATATTTGATGGGATATCAAGACAGGAGGATGATTTCTGAGATACATCATCCCTGCCTATCATATGTCATACCATAGGGAATTATTTTCACACAGATCACGTTCAAAAATAACTTTTTGGCCGGACGCAGCGGCTCATGCCTGTAATCCCAGCATTTTGGGAGGCAGAGGAGGGCAGATCACCCGAGGTCAGGAGTTCAAGACCAGCCTGACCAACATGGAGAAACCCTGTCTCTACTAAAAATACAAAATTAGTCAGGCATGGTAGCACATATCTGTAATCCCAGCTACTTGGGAGGCTGAGGCAGGAGAATTGCTTGAACCCGGGAGGTAGAGGTTGTAGTAAGCCAAGATCATGCCATGTTGCACCCTAACCTGGCAACAAGAGTGAAATTCCATCTCAACAAAAAATAAATAACTTTTCAGTTGGGTGCGGTGGCTCACACCTGTAATCCCAGCACTTTGGAAGGCCGAGGTAGGTGGATCACTTGAGGTCAGGAGTTCACGAGCAGCCTGGCCAACATGGTGAAAACCCATCTCTACTAAAATACAAAAATTACAGTAGCATGCACCTGTAATCCTAGCTACTTGGGAGGCTAAGGCAGGAGGATCACTTGAGCCTGGGAGGCAGAGGTTGCAGTGAACCGAGATTGTACCACTGCACTCTAGGCTGGGTGATACCGTGAGACTCTGTCTCAAAAAACAAAACAAAAAAAACTTTTCATTTTTCATTTTCTGTACATTGACAACTCTATTATTTGCTTTGGTGTGATATCCCTACCTTTTTTTTTCTTTCTTTTTTATTTTTTTGGAGACAGAGTCTTGCTCTGTCGCCCAGGCTGGAGTGCAGTGGTGCAATCTCGGCTCACTGTAAGCTCCGCCTCCCGGGTTCACGCCATTCTCTTGCCTCAGCCTCCCGAGTAGTTGGGACTACAGGCACACGCCGCCACATCTGGCTAATTTTTTGCATTTTTGGTAGAGACGGGGTTTCACCATGTTAGCTAGGATGGTCTCAATCTCCTGACCCTGTGATCCGCCCAACTCGGCCTCCCAAAGTGCTGGGATTATAGGCATGAGCCACTGCGCCCGGCCGATATCCCTACTTAAGGTTGTTTCTCTCTTTCCTTTTATTTATTTGTACTTATTTATTTATTTATTTATTTTGACAGAAAGTCTCGCCCCATCACCCAGGCTGAAGTGCAGTGGCATGATCTTGGCTCACTGCAACCTCAGCCTCCTAGGTTCAAGCAATTCTCCTGTCTCAGCCTCCCGAGTAGCTGGGACTACAGGTGCATGCTGCCACACCTGGCTAATTTTTGTATTATTAGTAGAGAAAGGGTTTCACCTTGTTGGTCAGGCTGGTTTCAAACTCCTGACCTCAAGTGATCCGACCACCTTAGTCTCCCAAAGTGCTGGAATTACAGGAGTGAGCCACAGCACTGGGCCGCTTTTTATTTTGTTGAGATAGAGTCTTGCTGTGTTGCCCAGGCTGGAGTGCAATGGTGTGATCTTGGCTCACTGCAACCTCCACCCTCCGGATTCAAATGATTCTCCTGCCTCAGCCTCCAAATAGTTGGGATTACAGGCATATGCCACCATGCCCGGCTAATTTTATATATATATTTTTAGTAGAGATGGGGTTTCACCATGTTGGCCAGGCTGGTCTGAAACTCCTGACCTCAGGTGATCCACCTGCCTTGGCCTCCCAAAGTGCTGGAATTACAGGCATGAGCCACTGTGCCCAGTCTCTTTTTCTTACACACAAATAAATCTGGTCTGTCATTTCTTTTTTTTGAGACAGAGTTTCACTCTTGTTGCCCAGGCTGGAGTGCAGTGGCATGATCTCAATCTCGATCTCCCCTCACTGCAACCTCCGCCTTCTGGTTTCAAGAGATTCTCCTGCCTCAGCCTCACGAGTAGCTGGGATTACAAGCGCCCGCCACCACGCCCAGCTAATTTTTGTATTTTTAGTAGACACGGGGTTTCACAATGTCAGGATGGTCTTGAACTCCTGACCTCGTGATTCGCCCGTCTTGGCCTCCCAAAGTTCTGGGATTACAGGTGTGAGCCACCGTGCCCAACCCTTGTGATTTCTTATAATACTGTACTTTAATAAAGTGTCCACCTATATTTTCAGTGTTTTTTTAAAGAGACAGGTGCTCACTCTGCTATACAGACTGGAGTGCAATGGCATGATCATAGCTCACTGTAACCTCAAATTCCTGAACTCAAGCAATCCTTCCACCCTAGACTCCCAAGTAGCTGGGACTACAGGTGCACGCCACTGTGCCCAGTAAATTTTTAAATTTTTGTAGAGACAGGGCCTCGCTATGTTGCCCAGGTTAGTCTCCCACACTTGGCCTCAAGTGATCTCCTGCCTTGGCCTCCCAAAGTGCTGGGATCACATGCATGACATGAGCCACTGAACCCAGCCGCTGTCTCATTTTTCTAGTACTTCTCGTATGGAATGGCTTACTGGTCTTCTAAATCCAGAATCATTCATTATGTATCAGACCACTTTGCAATTTTTTTTTTTTTTTTTTTTTTTTTTGAGATGGGGTCTCGCCCTGTTGCCCAGGCTGGAGTGCAATGGCGAGATCTCAGCTCACTGCAACCTTCACCTCCTGGGTGATTCTCCTGCCTCAGCCACCCAAGTAGCTGTGATTACAGGCATGTGGCACCACACCCGACTAATTTTTGTACTTTTAGTACAGACGGGGTTTCACCATGTTGATCAGGCAGGTCTCAAACTCCTGACCCTGTGATCTACCTGCCTCAGCCTCCCAAAGTGTTGGGATTACAGGCGTGAGCCACTGCGCCCAGGCCACTTTGCTATTTCTTTTAACAAAGTTGTACTGAATACAGTTACTGTTGTTTTGTATTTTTATCTTATTATATTACATTGTATATATTGTTCTTATAAATTACTTTTTTTCTTTTATATTTACTAAAGTAGCATATTAACTTTTTTAGAAATCATATATGGATTTACCTATGACTTATCTATGAATTAAGTTCAAGCAAAATACTCGTTATAAAAAGGAGTCACTGAGTCTCAGAGTTGGACAGTGCCTGGAAGAAAGGACTTCTTACTCCTCCTTTCTCAGCACCCTTAGTGAGTGGACTGAGGGCAGCAGATGGATGAGCTAAGAGAGGCCAAAACAGCAATGGTATGGGGTGTGGGGTGTGGAGTGTGGAGCAGGGAGGGCAAGGAATACTGACAGCAGGATGATCAGGGCCCAGGGTGCTCTCCCGGATGCTGAGGGCATCATTCAGCAGGTGGGCAGCTTCCTTATACTTATTCTGGTCCCTGGAAGAAGACAAAAGTGACAGGAGTTACCCTGAACTCTGCCTGCAAGCCTTCTTCTTCCCTCCTTCCCTTTGGGAGGACTGAGTACATTTAAGGACTGGGGACCTCCATGAGGAGACAGGAAGCCTGGTGTGGACAGTAAGGGGGCTTCACTGACATACTCATACCAGAATGCAGGGCACTGCCATCGCAAGAGGAGGCCACAAGTTATAGGAAGCGAGAGGGCAGGGGGAAGAGAGGGAGAGAGCACGCCCCAAAAGAGATTAGAGGAACAGTGATCCCAAACAATGAGCAAATGCTTAGGTATGGGAAAAGTGAGAGTTCTGGCACATTAAGAAGCACCCGAGTGGGGTGTATCTGGGAGGCCCAACAGGCAGGAGAGGTACCCTGTAAAGAGGAAAAATGAAAACCAAAGGAGGACCAAGGTGGGAATGCAGGGGAAGATCTGGGCACTGGAGGAGGGAAGTCCTCACCGATACACCAAAGCAAGGATGTTGAGCATGGTGGCAACATCAGGGTGGCCACGGCCTGATGTGCGCTCCAGGTCCTCCAGTGCCTGCTTACAGAGTGGCACGGCCACCTCATAGCGACCTTGGGCTGCGTACTGAATCACCAGGTTGTGCAACGTCCGCAACCTTGCTGGGATCTCATATCCACCCTGCTGAGCTGCTGCAGTACCTTGACCACGGGACACTAAACCATCACAGAAAATAAACAAAGGACTCTTCCTCTCTCCTTTGCTGTCTGCCCTTCCACTCCCCATTGCACGTCTTGTTCCATACGTATGCCTGCCCCGACATGGGCTCTCAATATTAGACCTGCCTCAAGCACTATTCTTTTATCCACTCCCTTGACCTGTGCCCATCACAACCTCAGTTATTCACCCAGTAATTCATTCATTCAACAAACATTTATTTAATAAATATGAACCAAGGGATGTCCCAGGAGTACAAAGGTAAGAAAGACCTGGTTCTGGCCAGGTGCAGTGGCTCACGCCTGTAATCCCAGCACTTTGGGAGGCCGAGGCAGGTGGATCATGAGGTCAGGAGTTCGAGACCAGCCTGGCCAATATGGTGAAACCCTGTCTCTACTAAAAATACAAAAATTAGCCGGGTGTGGTGGTGGACGCCTGTAGTTTCAGCTACTCGGGAGGCTGAGGCAGGAGAATCACTTGAATCCAGGAGGCGGAGGTTGTAGTGAGCCGAGATTGGCCCACTGCACTCTAGCCTGGGAGACAGATTGAGACTCTGTCTCAAAAACAAACAAACAAACAAACAAAAAAAACCTGGTTCTTTTCCTCGAGGGGCTCATGGTCTCCTCATCTCAGGTTTATTCTCCCACTAGACTGTGAACTCCTTACTGGTGAGACCTATGCCATTTCCATCTCAGTACTCCTAGTGCCTAGCATAGTACCTGGCACATACTCAGTGTTTAATACATGTTTGTTCAGTGGAGAGGCTGAGGAAATCGAAGTACTAGCCCAGCCCCTGCCCTGTCTCCAGAAAAAGTGGATAACCTATTTCCAGATGGTGAGTGTCCTGTGTACAGGGTGGGCCACAGCTAGGGCCAGCCTCCTGCTGCCCCTTTTCACCATCCCATTCCCGAGGCAGACTCACAGCCATTGCTGGGGTCCTCTTCCTCCTCATTAGGGAAGAGGTCATCCAGGGAATCCTTGGTGGCATCGCCTTCTTTCTCCTCCTGGAAGGAAAGAAGCAACATTAAGGGCCAAGATATCCCTACCTAGTAGCCTCCTCAGTGACCCCTCTAAGCCATGAAATCATAGACAGATGGGGCATAGGAGAAGACTGTTGTTTCTGTCTCTGCCCCGGAAAGGCTAGCAACTGGCCCAGCCAAGCCCAGGCCTCTGGTTTGTAACAGTCAGAGATGCTTTGGACAAAACTTCCCCCTCCTTCTCATACAGAAAGTTTCCTTCCTGGCCGGGTGTGGTGGCTAACGCCTGTAATTCCAACACTTTGGGAGGCCGAGGTGGGCGGATCACCTGAGGTCAGGAGTTCAAGACCATCCTGAGCAACATGGAGAAACCCCATCTCTACTAAAAATACAAAATTAGCCGGGCGTGGTAGCGCATGTCTATAATCCCAGCTACTCGTGAGGCTGAGGCAGGAGAATCGCTTGAACCTGGGAGGCAGAGGTTGCGGTGAGCCAAGATCGCGCCATTGCACTCCAGCCTGGGCAACAAGAGCGAAACTCCGTCTCAAAACAAAAAGAAAAAAGAAAAAAAAAAGATTAAAAAAAAGTTTCCTTTCTAACCACCCTCAATCTCTCCTTAACTCTTGTAATTATGGCCCTATGCTGATCTCTGTGTGTTTATGTTGATTATATGTCTGTCTTGTCTCTCCTGAGGGAAGGGAGTATGTCCGATCTTATTGACATGTACCCAAAAAGTGTCTAGCTCAGCCTGGTGCCCATCATCTGCACAGCTCATTCTGGACTTACTGCATAACCCTCCCTCACCGTCTAACCTATTCTGCACTAGGAAAATCTGCTTTTCCCCATCAGGAACTGCAGCCTCATCCAAACACCAACCTTCCTACCCAGCTTCACCAATGTGTCCTGTGCAATCCATCTACTCACTTTCCCTGAGAGAGACCAGTTTTTCCAGGCTGTAAGCCTTATCCATGACACCCTGCACTCCAGTCTAAAAAGCTCCTTCCTCTTCCTCATCATGAAATTTCAAAATCCATCTCGAATGGGATGGATCCTAACCCACTGAAATGGGAAATCCAACCTATATCCTACCCATCCCTGTACCCTGCTTCCTCAATTTTTTTTGTTAGTTTTTTGAGACAGAGTCTCTGGTCTGGCAACAGCCCAGGCTAGAATGCAGTGGTACAATCACAGCGCACTGCAGCTTCTACCTCCTGGGCTCAAGCAATCCTCCCACCTCAGCCTCCCGAATAGCTGACGCTACAGGTGCACACAACCACATCAGGCTAGTTTTTTAAATTTTTGGGGAGACAGGGTCTCACTATGTTGCCCAGGCTCCCTGCTTCCTCCATGAATTCTTCTTAGACCATTCCAGCTCTCAGAGACATATCTCCGTGAAATTCTTCCCACACTGACTGAACCACTCATCCAGCACTGAGCACTTACTGCTTTGTATTTTGTCACATATGTGTTCTCATGGATAAGACTTGTTCCCTACAGATACATCTGAAGAAAACACACTCTCAGCCAGGCACGGTGACTCACACCTGTAATCCCAGCATTTTGGGAGGCTGAGGCAGGCAGATCACTTGAGGCTAGGAGTTTGAGACCAGCCTGGCCAACATGGCAAAACTCTCCGTCTCTACTAAAAATACAAAAATTAGCTGGGTGTGGTGGCAGATGCCTGTAATCCTAGCTGCTTGGCCGGCTAAGGCACGAGAATTGCTTGAATGCCAGAGGCGGAGGTTGCAGTGAGCTGAGATGGCATCACTGCACTCTGTTGAATGAGGGTTAAATATCACACATTTTGGGTCAGGCATGGTAGTTCACACCTGTAATCCCAGCACTTTGGGAGGCCCAGGCGGGCAGATAACCTGAGGTCAGGAGTTCAAAACCAGTCTGGCCAACATGGTGAAACCCCATCTCTAGTAAAACTACAAAAATTAGCCAGGTGTGGTGGCAGGTGCCTGCAATTCCAGCTGCTCGGGAGGCTGAGGCAGGAGAATTGCTTGCACCTGAGAGGCAGCGGCTGCCATGACCCAAGATTGCACCATTGCACTCCAGCCTAGGCAACAAGTATGAAACTCCGTCTCAAAAAAAAAAAAAAAATTCACACATTTTGAAAGCAAATTTTAGGAGGGTCATGCCCAACTGGGCTATGCTTTCCCTAATTGTAGCACGCAGGATTCTCGATTGGAATTGTCCAGGTGCTTGTCTATCTCCCTCACAAGCTTGTAATTGTAAGAGCAGGAACTGTGTGTGCCCCACTCACCAGTGCAGTGCACAACGCCTGGTACATAGGAGGCATCTCATTACATGTTGACTGAATTAGCTGAATATAGTTTTTCCCCTTGCTGTCACCTGGAGTTGGTGTCAGGGCTGAAAAAGGAATTCTTTCAGGTAAGAGCAGTTTGGGTAGAGCTGATGGACCCTGAGGATGATGGGGCAATTTCCCCCATGTCTGTGGTAACTCCTGGCTGCCCACCCCTTAGCTAGTCTCGCCTGCGTACACTCACCGTGGTGTGTCCATCCTCATCATACTGTCGCAGCTGCCCCAGGAACTCCAGGTGCTTCTTTTCCTCCTCCAGCTGAGCCACAGCCTGTTCACTGCGCTGTAGCCGCTGCTGGGTGCCAGCCAGCTCGTCCCGCAGCCACTGGTTCTCCTGGCATAGCCGCCGCACCTGAGCCCGCAGCTTCTGTTTCTCCGACTCCACTGTGCTCAGGTGGCTGGCTAGAGCCAGCATCACCTAGATGGGCATATCCCCTGAGCTCCAGATTCTGGGTGGGAGTATTCAGGAACAGGTGGAAGGGGAGCCTACTGGGACATAGCAAGACTGGCAGGGGCACAAAGGAGCCAGAAGGTGGGGGTGTAGCAGTGGCACTACCTTCAAAACACCCTGAATCCAATTTCCCACTACCTCCACTGCCGTCACCCTGGGCCAAGCCACTATCAATTCCTACCCAAATTACTACAATAACTTCCTCACTGGCCTCCTTGTTGCTGCCCTTGTTCTCCTACTGTCTATTCGTAACCCAGCAACCAGATGATGCCAAGTTAGACCACATCACTCCTCTTCTAAAAACATTCCAATAGTTTCCATCTCACTCAAAGTAAAATCAGGGTCAGGCACAGTGGCTCACGCCTATAATCCCAGCATTTTGGGAGGCCAAGGCGGGTAGATCATGAGGTCAGGAGTTCAAAACCAGCCTGGCCAACATGGTGAAACACCATCTCTACTAAAAATACAAAAATTAGCCGGGTGTGGTGGTGCGCGCCTGTAGTCCCAGCTACTCAGGAGGCTGAGGCAGGAGAATCGCTTGAACCTGGCAGACAAGAGGTTGCAGTGAGCCAGGATGGTGCCACTACATTCCAGCCTGGACAACAGTGCAAGACTCCATCTCAAAAAAAAAAGTAAAATAAAAGTCCTCGGGATGGCCTACAAGTTCCACTTGATCCATCTCCCTCCCCTCATTCACTCTACTGCAGCCATACTGGCCCCTTGCTGTTCACTGACCTCACCAGGCAGACTTCCATTCAGAGTCTCTGCATTTGCTGCTCTCTCTGATTAGGATGCCCTTCCCCTGTTTAATAGGCATGACTCATTCCCCTCACCTTCACATCTTTGCCAAAATGTCACCTTTTCAAAAAAGGGTAACCTTTTTTGACCACCCTATCTAAAATTATACCCTCTCTCCACAGTCCCTAGTTTCCTTCCCTGCTTTATTTTGGTACTTTTATCCTTAGCAATTATCATTCTGGCGTACTGAATCATTATTTATTTAGGTATTGTCTGTCTTCCCCAGCTAGAAGGTAAGCTCCAAGATGGCAAAGATTTTTACAATTTTGTTCAATGATGTATTTCTTCAGTGACCAAAAGCATTCTGGCACACAGTAGTGACTTAATACATATTTAATGAATGGATGCAAACGTCTAGAGTGAGGTGATCCCAAGCAACCCCAAACCTTCAATCAGGTACCTGCTCCTCCATCCACCCTGGACCACTTGGCACCACCTTTGCCCTCTCACCTGGGCCTCACTCAGCCCGAGCTCAATGTTTTCCATAGAACGGCGAAGCTGCCGGGCCTTCTCATGCACTAGCCCTTCCTCGTGGCCTCCCTGCTGCAGACACTCAATGGTCTGGGACAGGCTTTGCAGCACGGCCTGGTGTTCACTGTGCAGGGCCTCTAGCCCTTGGCTGACCAGCCGTGTGCTCCCCAGGATCTCCTCTTGGCTGAGCCGGTGGCCTGCAGGCTCATCCCGCTGCCCCAACACCAGGCCTGACATCCTGGCCTGGGGGACCTTGCCTGGTCTAGGGAAAAACAACAGAGTTCGGCTGGCGTAAAGATGAGACAGAGAAGCTGAGAACTTTCTCAGAGGGTGGTGGGAATCCAAGTGAAGGGACAAAAGTAAGAGTGACCCTGTGGCTTAGTTGGAGAGAGAGAGTGACCAGCAGGCAGGGAGCCCAGATCACTAAACTCAAAGTTAAGGTTGTGGGCAAAGTGAGAGGGAGATGAATTGACTTAAATAAAGAAAGACTATAGTAGGAGCAAAGGTGCTTAGAACTAGCAGAAGGATTCAGGACTTAGGAAGAGAACAGAAAAGCAGTTAGAGCCTGAGTTAGGAAAAGTTATCCAGGGATGAGAGACAGCACTATGGAGATTACAGAGGATCTGAGGGAGAGCTTCAAAGGGCACAGGGCTAAAGTGGGATTATGCAGAAAATAATGCAAGGATCTAGAAAAAAGAGAAGGAATCTTTGCAAAGTTAAATCAGGGAACAAAGGGAAAAGAAGAAAACAGGAGCTTTCCTTGCAGGATCCACGTTAGAGGGTCCCAGAAAGCTCAAGGTCTTCAGGCTGCATCACCTGCAGAACTAAGTCCAGCACCTCCAAACCTGGTCAGTCCTACATCTTTTCCTACTTACCTTCAACCCATACTTCCCACCCCCCAGGACCCAGACTGTGTTCCCACTTCCTCAGAAGGGTCTTGTCTCTCATCTTTGAAGTCTTCTTACCTGTGTACAGAGAAGAGGCCCTGGCTGTGGCACTCAGGCCGGAGCCCGGAAGAAACTGTTCAGCAGCCAGAGAATCAGAAGGATCTGCCCTGCCCAAAGTCCAGAAGTCCAGCGTTCCCACCCCTTCTCTCACCACTTCACAGCTACCCAGAGGACCTGGCACAGAGCCCCACCCAGGACAAACAGCCTCCCTCCCTCACTCCCTCTGCCTACAGGTCTTTAAAGACGCCCAATTCCCTTCTCCTTACCCAAGCCAGCCTCCCTCATCGCAGGCCTGGGGAGCTACTGTCTCCCAGGAATATGAGAGAGAGAGACTTAATCAGAGACCTACAGCAAGAGGCATGTCTGGGAAAGGGGAGGGAGGAACATCTGGTCACTCCACACCCAGTCACTTCAATGGCTTTGTCTCTGTCACGGTCACCTACAAACAGGCTCTGAGAGGTATCACCGTAGGGTGCCCCCCTAATGCCCGATGATGCAGGGAAGAATGGGAGGTCTGCTGAACGGCTGCCGGGTCACAAGGAGGGTCTCCCGGGCCTGGAAACGCAGTAGAGGAGTGCCTCGGGCTGTCGACCTGCCCTGGGGCCCAGGGTTGGGAGAATGAGATGGGCGGGGGCGGTAGGGGGGAGGTGTAGATGGACGACCGAGGTCCGCAGCTCCAGCGAGGACCTGGAGGCCTAACGACCCCGAGGTCACTGAATCAGTTGGTGGCGCAGGGGGCGGGGCAGGCCGGCTATCTGTCTGTCTGGACGCCGAGGGGCGGGGAAGAATCGCGAAGGGCGGAGTTTTTGAGCCTGGAGTTTTGTAAGGTTGGTTGGAGAGGGTTTGTTTATCTTTCTGGGAGTGCGAGAATAAGAGATGGCAGAGACCTTAACCTTCAGCCTCAGAGGTACCCTCAAAGACTCACCTGCAATCTGCCGGTCTGGCTGCCGCTCTTGCCGGTACTGCCCCTTTAAATCCATGATGGCTGCCGCTCGAGGCAATTGTTTTGACGGGTCTGGGGGCGGGGCCTGTTTCCTAGTCACGGGACATTAGAGCTGCCCGCGGATTGGCTCTCACCGCGTTCAGGTAGGAAAGGAGGTGTGTATCCTGCTTGGGCTCCAGTTTTCTGCCCGCCTCCGTTTACGTTGTGCGGAGCGACGGCGCCGGACAGTCAACGTCATCTAGGAGCGCCGAGCAGCTTGGCTAAAAGTAGGGGTGGCGTGCTGAGCCCTGGAAAGCCGGATGGCCCTGTGGGCACTGACCCGCGCTCTGCGCTCTCTGAGCCTGGCGCCCCCGACCGTCGCCGCCCCTGCCCCGAGTCTGTTCCCCGCCGCCCAGGTAATCCATCTTACCCGGGAAGAAGGCTGCTTCCATTCGGGCTACCGGAGATGGGGTCTGCGGGGATGCGAGGCGGGGGTTGCAAGTCTGGTCAGGAGTCACGCAGGTCCATGACCATGGATAAGGCACACTCAGCCTCAGCTTTTTCCTCCACAAGTGTTGCTATCTCATAGGGCGAAATTCTTCAGACGAGATACTTAAGGTGAAAGTGCTTTACAGATCACCGGTTATACAGGTTTCGGCAATAACTAACGTTTATCGAGTGCCTATGATAGGCCAGGTATAGGTAATAGACGTTTCAAATAAATGAACTCCTTTCAAATACTCTATAAGGCAGTTACTATTCCCATTTTATAGATGAGGAAAATGATAAGGAGTCCAAGGTCACACACACAACTATCAGAGCTAAGCAGTCTGTCTTTCAGAGCCAGTGCTCTTAACCATTATGATACGATACCTACAAGGATGAGTTACTGCTGATATTAGAGAATGCAGGGCAAGATACAAAGAACAGTGGCCTCAGGGGAAGGTATCCTGAGGTCCTAGTGGGTGGGTGACTGGTGAGTCACGCAAAAGAGAAGTAAGTCTTGCTCCTCTGGAGCTCTCAAGCTACTTATGGTAGAGTTTGACAGATGCATGTTTAAAATTCAAATCCAAATCAACCTACTCTGAAATGCTGGGAATACAGCAAGGAACAAGAGTGAAATGACCCCTCCCCTCCATTCGTATGTGAATAATTCCCAGCAACATAATGCAGAGGGCAAAAGGAATTGGCACTGATGGTGATACATGGATGTATGGAAGTTACCAGCTATGGAGAAGGGAATTGTTTAGGTAAAAACAGATTCCTGGAGATGGAGAGTTCTGGGCCAAATTTGGAAGGAGATGATCATGGGGAGAACATTATTGGGCAAGCTGTGAAGGGTGGAGTTTTTGGATAGCTGGTTTGGGATACATCCAGGAGGAAGTGGGCTGCAAGCTAAAATTGATCAGTGCCCTCCGACTTGGTTCTCTGATGCTTTGCCTTCAATTAGCTTTCAAATGAAAGAGATGTCTTTTTATCCCCAGATGATGAACAATGCCCTCCTCCAACAGCCCTCTGCCTTGATGTTGCTCCCCTGCCGCCCAATCCTTACTTCTGTGGCCCTTAATGCCAACTTTGTGTCCTGGAAGAGTCGTACCAAGTACACCATTGCACCGGTGAAGATGAGGAAGTCTGGGGGCCGAGACCACACAGGTGGGAGCAAGGACAAGGGGATTTAAGCAATCAAAGGGAAAAACATGTTAAGACCCTAGATCTGTATATTGACACACTTGTACCTTGTAAGGCAGAGGAATGTAATTAAAAAGCACTTATTTGGCTCCTTTTGCATGTAGTATGTGCACAGGAACCAGAGAGTAGAATACAAAGCAAAAGGTAATTGGTCTGTACTTCTAAAGATAATTTGGGTAATTGAAGAAAATGGGCCATACACAGGATGTGCCATGACATTTTCCTTCACACCCTTCGAAAATTTATAACAGACTGGGTAAGGTTGCTCATGCCTGTGATCCCAGCACTTAGGGAGGCTGAGGTGGGCAGATCACCTGAGATCACAAGTTTGAGACCAGGCTGGCCAACATGGCAAAACCTCGTCTCTACTAGAACTATAAAAATTGGCCAGGTGCAGTGGCTCACACCTATAATCCCAACACTTTGAGAGTCCAAGGCAGGCAGATCACTTGAGGCCAGGAATTCAAGACCAGCCCGACCAACATGGTGAAACCCCATCTCTACTAAAAATATAAAAATTAGCCAGGTGTAGTGGTGCAGTCCTGTAATCCCAGCTACTTAGGAAGCTGAGGCATGAGAATCACTTGAGCCTGGGAGGTGGAGCCTGCAGTGAGCCAGGATCGCGCCATTGCACTCTAGCCTGGGCAGCAGAGCAAGACTCTGACTGAAAAAAAAAAGATTAACCAGGTGTGGTGGCAGGCACCTGTAATCCCAGCTACGCAGGAGGCTGAGGCAGGAGAATCACTTGAACCCAGGAGGTGGAGGTTGCAGTGAGCCGAGATCACGCCATTGTATTCCAGCCTGGGTAACAGAGCAAGACTCGTCTCAAAAAATGTGTATATTTATAACAGGCTGGGTGTGGTTGCTCCTGCCTTTAATCCCAACACTTTAGAAGGCCAAGGCAGGAGGATCACTTGAGGTCAGGATCCAACCTGGGCAACAGAGTGATACCCTGTCACATGCACAAAAAATAACAGTTGAAATTATTTGAGTATGATTTACATGACTCTCAGTAAACTTATTGATTTCAGTAATTTGAAAATGTTTTATCTGGAAGTTTTATACAATTTCAGTAATGTTTTTTCACTTAGCTTCATGTTGGTGTTGACCCTCCTTACTCCAGTGTGCTGTGCAAATTTTGATCATTCTCTGTAAGCAGTGCTCTCTGGCAGAGAATGGGCCAGGTCCCAGTGCTGGAAACTGAACTACTCTCACCTGAATCATATCCCCAACTGTCCTAAACCACAGGCCGAATCCGGGTGCATGGTATTGGTGGGGGCCACAAGCAACGTTATCGCATGATTGATTTTCTGCGTTTCCGGCCTGAGGAGACCAAGTCAGGACCCTTTGAGGAGAAGGTTATCCAAGTCCGCTATGATCCCTGTAGGCAAGTTTGGGATGTGGGATGATGATGGAATGGTCTGAATAACTGCATAGCTTCTCAGGAGATGTGGGGCTGCCTAGATGGTCTGCTTACCTGTCCCTCACCCTGATCAGGTCAGCAGACATAGCTCTGGTTGCTGGGGGCAGCCGGAAACGCTGGATCATCGCCACAGAAAACATGCAGGCTGGAGATACAGTCTTGAACTCTAACCACATAGGCAGAATGGCAGGTGAGAGATGGCTACCAGATGTGTGGGCTGGAGGCAGCAAAGGTTCTAGAGCTAATGAAATCCTGTCTTTTAGTTGCTGCTCGGGAAGGGGATGCGCATCCTCTTGGGGCTCTGCCTGTGGGGACCCTCATCAACAACGTGGAAAGTGAGCCAGGCCGGGGTGCCCAATATATCCGAGCTGCAGGTATGGGGAAAGGAGTTGCCTGGGTCCTATAGTTTGGAAAGGCAAGGAGAGTCTGAACCGATGGTTCCACATCTGGCACTGGTAGAGAAAATTAAGGAAAAAACAAGAAACATGAGGATGAAGATATGCATGTGTTTTGACCTAAAATGTAGCATGCATCCTTCTTTGTGTATCTGTTCCTAAAGAGCAAAGCAAGGGCAGCATGTGGGGTGTGGCCCCTGTGTAAATTCCTCTGCACCCCCCCGTTTTGTGGAGGGTGGCAGATCAGCTTCTTTCCCCAGGGACGTGTGGTGTGCTACTGCGGAAGGTGAATGGCACAGCCATTATCCAGCTGCCGTCTAAGAGGCAGATGCAGGTGTGTATGGGTATGCCTGGGAGGGGTCAGCAAAGGAGGAATTTTTGGAATATAACTTTCCTGTCTGGGGTAGGTAGGTCCCAGCTGTTTTATGATGCAAGGAACTGCCTTGAGCTGAGGCTGTCCTTTTCTGCCACATGACTTAGGTGTGCTTTGTCGGATTGGCACCATAAGTAATTTTTTTTTTTTCGAGACAGAGTCTTGCTCTGTCACCCAGGCTGGAGTGCAGTGGCACGATCTTGGCTTACTGCAACCTCCACCTCCCAGGTTCAAGCAGTTCTCCTGCCTCAGCCTCCTGAGTAGCTGGGATTGCAGGCATGCACCACCACAGCTGGCTAATTTTTGTGTTTTAGTAGAGATGGGGTTTCACCACGTTGGCCAGGCTGGTCTCGAACTCCTTACCTCGTAATCCGCCCGCCTTGGCCTCCCAAAGTGCTGAGATTACAGGAGTGAGCCACTGCGCCCGACCCTAATTTTTTTTGAGACAGGGTCTCTATTGCTTGAGTGCAGTGGCACAGTCAGCTCACTGCAGCCTCAAACTCCTGGGTTCAAGCAATTCTGCCTCAGCCCCCCAAGTAGCTGGGACTACAGGCG